ACTTTTTAATAGTAGCTTTATGGCACAAAGCCCATTATGGATAATGTTTTTAATTGTAATTTTATAAATAATGTAGAAATGGACTTTATATGATTGCTTTTATATTGACAATATGAAAGCCTAAGACATCAATCCTATCTCATTGTTCTATGAAGGATTTCCATGGGGATCTAAAGTTTTCTGTATGTTTCCGGGATGCTGAAGTGAAATGTGGTACTATCACACATGTTATGCTGACATTTACGTTTTTAAAGAACTTCAGATGAAATTATTATAATGGTGGAATTATCCAGGTTTCTAGTAAATGGGAGGGGGAATATATTTGAGCAGGCTACTGTTTTGGTGTTTCCAAAATCACTGTTGAAAGAGAACGTGTGAATTTGCCTGTGGATTGGAGAGTCAACATGGAACATCCCAGAAAAATGAGGAAAGCTATGGCCTCCAACCCACACCAGACTACTCCAGTTAAGAACACTATGTTAATTAGAAATATTGTGTTGATTGTGAGGTGAGATATACCTGAAACTGACTCCACCAAGCCTGTCTCTTTTAAATATCTGTGCTCATTTTTTTTTTATGAATTCATCTTACCACTGGTGCTAAGAATTTTCTGATATAATTTGGAGTCATAAAGTATAGGCTCAAATAGTGAGTAAAGAAATGTTAAGATAAAAATAGTTATTCATAAATAAATGTACATATATTTCCCCAGACTCTAGATAAGAAGACATTTAAGTAAGAATAGGCTGTTGACCTACAGGGGATAAAAAACAAGAGCTTCAGAAAACTGAAGGAAAACATTGTTTTTAACCATCATAGTTTATAAATGATATAAGCAATTCAATTTCCCTATTTTTAAAATGAAGAAGAGTAAACAAAAAAACCTGATTCAATTACATATGATAAATACAATTAAATGGAGATACAATTTGATTTATTGGAAGCAATATGAGTTTTATGCAGATTTACTATTGGCAGTGCCTTACCAGAATGTAGTGCATTCTGGAAAATATCTACTGAATCAAATATGTGTAAATATAAAAAATAAATCCATGTCATGGTATGGTATGGGGTGGTAAGGGGTGGGGAGGTGGAGGGCTGTTTCCAGGGAGCTAAAAGTAATATAAAATCCTCAGTTACTCTTGGCTATTTAGATAAAATCTTTGATAGCATTGATTTAGCATTTTATATATATTCTTTAATATGGTACTTTCAAAGAAAATGCTCCCTTTTATAAGGAATAAAGAGGAAAATAAATAGACTATTTAGATAATGGTACAAATAACTGCTCTACCAAGATGGCAGCCACCATTGACAAATGGAGCCATTGCCTGGCCAACAGCATTTCTGGGCATGGTTTTAAATTCCCGAGTTGATTTTTCCTGAATTCAGAATGGTAATACTGGCTGCTCAGAAGAGTTGATGTAGTGTAGAAAGCACAAAGTTTGAACATGGGGAATTCAAGTCTTGCCTTAACCTCAGCATGCCGCTCTCGTTGCCCTTGGGCTGGAGGGGACAATTACCTGCCTTTAGCTATTCCTATCCCAACCTAGGACAGAAATCCTGGCAGAAGAGAGTCTGTGGCTCTCTTCTCGAATGGGATGATAGGTTTTGGTCAACTGTTTATAAAATTACTAATTTTAAAGACTTGAAATATTATTAGCCTTTGATCATCAATTCTAACAGATAAACCCCTTCCTCCCATTCCCCACATGTTGCCATCTAAAGAAAGCATATCACTGGGGATGTGTAAGATGTGTAGCCCAAAATAGATTTTGGAGAAATCTTTTAAAAACCATTCACAATAGGGGTGCCTGGGTGGCTCAGTCGTTAAGCGTCTGCCTTTGGCTCAGGTCATGATCCCAGGGTCCTGGGATCGAGCCCCGCGTCGGGCTCCCTGCTCTGCGGGAAGCCTGCTTCTCCCTCTCACACTCCCTCTGCTTGTGTTCCCTCTCTTGCTGTGTCTCTCTCTGTCAAATAAATAAATAAAATCTTTAAAAAAAAAACCATTCACAATAGAAAACTAAAGAGTCCTCTAACATATTCCTGTCTCTGATAAGCTATGAAAATAGTACTGGTTTGGTAAGTTAAGTGACATTCTGCTTCTCTATAACAAATATTTACTCATGCTTTTTAAACAATAAATTAGCTAAAGGTAGGCTCAAGTTAGAAATTTAACTGATTAAATCCTTTGTAATTTAGCAAAGTATCCTCTCCACACGTAAACTATCAGTCATGTTTTATATTAAGACCCCCAACTCTGAAGGACAATTAGCAAATTCCTAGATGATCTCATTTTATGCCCTGCCCCAAAACAACGGAATCGAGCTCAGTCATATTTATCTTCCAATTTAACACACCTTGTTTAAAAAGCAGACTCCTTGTTTTACTCTAAATATGATTACATTTGCATAAATGTCATTTACAAACAACTGTCCTGGAACATAGGCATTGCATAAAGCGAGGTGTAGCTGTATATTTACTTAACAAGAAAATACTTATGGGGGTGTCACGTTTCATAGCTCAGTGACTGATGCTGGCATAAAATGAAAGTGTGCATTCATTGTTCTTCCTTTTTGCATTGCTTTTCATGCTCAAATACAAATTTCCTGACTTTGGGGATCAACATGCTAGAAGACAGTACAGTATTGTCTTGTGTTTAAAAGCAACAAGCTGTGGATTCTGACTGACCTAGATTTAAACCCCAGGCCTGCCAATCATTAGTTTTGTGATTTGGGCAAATTAATTAACCTTTCCGAGTTTCAGCTTTTCGTTTGCAAAACCACCAAGGGTTATTGTGAGGATTAAATTAACTAAAGGATGTAAAATGCTTAGCGTAATAGCAACTCAACAGGAGGCTGCTAATATTAATTCCAATTATAATCTGGCAGCTCAACAAGTGATTGTTAATATTAATTCGATTTATGTCTGCACTGAAAAACAGGAGGATAATAGAATGGACAGATTCCTCTCAGTTTTGTTTTCTAAGTGTATCATATGTATTAGTTATGTCCTCTCTATGCTGATTCTTTCCTCCCATTATAAATTATTTATTTTTAATTTTTATAATGCTGTTTGTTTTAAAAATATGTAATACTTTCATGTGGTTCAAAATTTAAAAGGCCCAAGGAGTGCCTCCTATCTAGTTCCCCTCCCAGAAGCAAAGCTTCAAAATCCATTTCATCCACGTATAATTAAACAGTTGGATACACATACTCTTCTTTCTCCCTTTTTTGCACAATAGTTATCATACTGGTTAGGGTTGCCAAATGAAATACATGACATCCAGTTAAATGTGCAGTATTTGTGACACGATTACACTAAAAAAATTACTTCGTCTTTTTATTCAAACTTCCAATTTAACTGAGTGTCCTGAATTTTATTTGCTAACTCTGGCATCCGTAAATTACTAGTCATGCTGTTTAGCATCTTATTTGTCTGCTTTTGAATTGTTATTTTTTTTTTCACGTTAGAATCACCTGATCTGGTTTTAGACTTCTCTATCCCCAAATCACACACTGCAGACCAGTTCCATCAGAATCATTCAGGGTTGAACTTGGGCAAAAGTACCTTTTTTTTTCTCCCAGTGATGGTCTTTGAGCAAGAGTCCTTTATTACAGTCACAAAACGAGAAATGTTATTAATAAGTGTTTGCAATTGCAACACTAATTACAAAGAAATGAAAAGATTACAAAGAAATTGTTGCTGATAGGGCTTTATACCAAGATCATTTTCACCTACTCAGGGTCTCCCCATTGGCTTAGTGGCAAACCAGGTGCTTTACAAATACTGTTATGACCCTGTCTACACAAGAGGGATTTCAGAGCCAAGTTAACTAATTGTTCATGCCACAGAGCTAGTAATTCGAGGAAAAGGAATTAGAGCCATGTCTGGCCCCAAAGTCTTGTTGGGGTCACATCCCGATCTGACCTAATTCTGAGATTCCACTTTTATTAACGCTATTCTGAAACTCCAATTTTTAATTTGGAAAACAATTCAGAACAGCTGTTTCTCTTTCTCAGCGGACTACTATCTCAGTTAAAATGCCTTCTAGAGAGAACCAGCCGAGAGAAACCAAACAGGTAAAATTCCTTGGGGTTCAAGTTTCTTTCATCTCTGTCAATCTTTTGCAAGGTAGTTCTGGATTTTGTGTTTGTTGGTTCACCTGCCTTGAGTCACCTGAGCATGAAGGGCTTATGAAAAAAGAGTTGACAGACATAATGATGAGCTGTGACTTAGGGGGAAAGGAAGCCGTGTGTTTTGGTCAAGAACTTGATCGTTCTGCTCAGATTGTGTGCATAGCATACCCATGTCTTGATGTGTAACTAAATGAAGGAACTGGATTAAAACGAGGGGTGGGTATCTTATTCCTGCACATGCCAAATATTTTCTTTCTCATCCTTTGTGGACATGTTTTATGAGATGCATGATATAGAGACAGGCCACATAACCATTCTGGTTTTTGTAGCAGAGGACACAATGTATCTGTTTCAAGGTCATTTCCTGGTAATGATATCTTCTGGGGAATTGAGGCACAGATTCAGGGAGGAGAGATGAAACCGAATCCTATTCCTGGCTTTGCTCCTTTCATCTATCTCTATATTTACAGCACTTATGAAAGTCTCTTGCATATAGTTGATGTTCAGTAAATGTTTGTTGAGCTCTCTTGACACTCTCTTTTAAAACTGAGAATAGACTGTGTTCTGGGTAGTTTGGCAATGCAGGGATATGAGTGGGGCTGAACCCAAGCACCGTTATCATGGACTCAGAAACTGCAGATTTGCACTGGGGTCTTAAGTTCTCTGAATTTTGATCATTTCAACTCACGTAGAAGCATCTTTAGAAGGTCAACTGACCTTGAAATCTTAACATTCAGCAAAAAGTAGTTGAGAAAGCATTCCTTAAGGTCCAGTGAATTTCGGAGAGTGTGTGATACCTGACAGTGCAGAGCAAGTTTGGATGCTAAAAAAAAAAAAAGAAAGAAAGAAAAAGGAAGAAGAAGAAGAAATCCATGAAACCAGCATTTGAATGGGATTCCAGTAGTTTGGAAGTGGGTTTTGACCCAGCATCCAAAGAATAATACTGTGACAGCAACAAAGAAATTGTAAGTAAAGTTTTCTCTAAGGACTATGAAAGAAAGGGGAGAAAAATGGAAACCAGGTCAACTTCTTAATATCTTATTAATTCTCTTGGTGTTTTGTTAATTTTATGAATTCGTCTGAAGTTTCTTGATTTTGTCGTTTTTAGAAGTATGACGATCATGTGTGCCTTGCCACATAGTGGGCTCCTTACTGTGCATTACTGTTAGTGCACCTTCTCCAGGTAGAAGGACTAACCTTTATAAGCTCAGAATGACGTATAGCTCTTGTTGGGAGTTTCTAAAATTTCCCTTTGTCCAGCCCAGGCCTTTTTTTATCCTGCTTCTAATGTTTTCACCTCCGTTCATCTTTGTTCTTTAGACCACTCATCTGAATTTTTTGGTAGCCTTTTGCCTGTGGCTTCTTTCACATTTGGAATCCAGTAGTGCAAATATGTCTTTATAAATTATGGCTCAACAATTTGGAATTTCCCCTTTCCTCCTCACCATTTTATTGTGTCTTTTTTTCAACACTAGCTGTAGACTTAATGTATTAGCAAAAGTACAGATTATTATAGATTCAATTAAATGCCGCTGGTAAAGGGCAAAGTGGTTTTCTTAAGTTAATTATTTACAATAGCTTTTAGAGTCTGAGGAGCTCAACCAGTTATAATACAGATATTTAGAATGGGTTTGACATTTTGGGGAGAGGGGCATGATTCTATATGCCCCGCCATACCTTTTTTTTAGTGTCCCTCCATCAGCCCATTGAGTTTATTTTACTAAATTTCTTCCCTATTTTCCCATTCAGGAATTTCATTGATACAAATCATGCCTTAGTCTACCTTTGCCTCGGTTTCATTATTCATTCAACAAAATATGTTGTGTCTCTTTTTACCGGGTACTCTGCTAATGAAAATTTGCCTTGGAAGACATAGTTTAGGTGACTATGGGAGGTAGTAAGTTTAATGAGTCAACCTAATCACGACTAATGAGTGAACTAGTTAATATATCACCTCCTTGGTGACCTCTTGCTCTAATACAGTTAATATCCTTCCACTAGATCCTTAGGCGTATCTGTTTCTTTCTTTCTTTCTTTTTTTTTTTAATTTTTTTTGATTATTTATTTATTTATTTGACAGAGGGAGAGAGAGAGACAGCGAGAGAGGGAACACAAGCAGGGGGAGTGGGAGAGGGAGAAGCAGGCTTCCTGCAGAGCAGGGAGCCCAATGCAGGGCTCGATCCCAGGACCCTGGGATCATGACCTGAGCGGAAGGCAGACACTTCATGACTGAGCCACCCAGGCGCCCCAGGGGTATCTGTTTCATAAGGACTTCAGGAGGCCTTTAGGCACGGTGGCTGGGCAGATGCTGGTGCAGGGAGGCCTTTCAGTATACCTCAAAAGCCCTGGCTGCAGAGGCCACTGTTAGAGAATAGCTCCCTAAAAGTATATATGGGAAAACACAGGAGGTTTTCTGGCGGTTTGCCTTTGTACCACACAAGGGAAGATCAGCCATAACCTTTATTTTAAAAAGTTGTAGAGGCTGAAATAAAGCAAGTGAATTAAGTAAAAAAGTTTGCAATCTTCTGTAAAGTCTTCATAATATAGGTCCTGAAAATTCAAGACAGCTGAAATTTGTTCACAGGCAGACCTGCCTTAAGAGTTCAGTTCCTGAGCGGTTAATATAACTCCTGTCCAAGGATCCAGTCCAGAGTAAAATAGTCACAAACGGCAGCTCAATAGCAAACTTCTTCCTTCAGGTTACATATAATGTGAGTTATTTGCATTCTGTAGTGATAATTGTTTTCTTCGATTTTCTTGCAACACTAGCCATTTGTATACATTTAAAACAGGATTCTTGCTTTCTCTTGAAGTTCAGATTATTTTTATTTTGTATCCTCAAAGTTTGAGTTCTAAGATAATGTGTTGCTTCATTAAGAACTTTACATAGGAGATTGTAGAAATGAGGATTTGAGCCATTTGTTTTCTTGTGTGAGATTCTGTGATAGTGTGATTTATAAGAAATATATATACATATATATTTGATCATTCAGATGACCAAAACGTATTTCTCAAATATATTTGGTCTTTATCTGCAGTTCCTGGCTCATAGCTCTGGAAACGCTTGGAATTTCCTGAGTGATAAGCACAGTGGAGCATCTTTTGTCATAATATTTGGTCTCCCCTTCTCAGTTCCTGACATAGCTTCAGAGCCATCAGGGTGGCATGGGTGTCTTGGTATTCGTAACAAATTCCTTTCCATTACAACCAGGTTTATGTTAATGAAATGACTTTTGAGAAAAGGCCAAGGGATGAGGGAACCAACCAGGAAGAGAGGGTTAGAACTTGCAGTCCCACCTGCTGATTTCAGAATAGGGGAGAGGAGCTGGAGGTTGAATCAATCACCAATGGCCAATGAGTTGATCAATATGCCTAAGTAATGATGCCTCCATAAAAACCCCAAAAAGGAGGGGGTTCAGAGAGTTTCCAGGTTGGGGAACCAGAACATTTCCACATGTGACCATGCCAGACCCCAAACTCCATGAGGACAGAAGCTCCTTTGTTTGCTGCCTTGCCCTATGTATCTCTTCATCTGACTGTGGATTTGTAACCTTTAATAGTCTTTGTAATATATCCATAATCTAGGGAGTAAACAGGTTTCCTGAGTTCTGCAAGCAAATTAATAGGACTTAAGGAGGGGGTTGTGGGAACCTCTGGTTTACAGCCCGTTGGTCGGAACTACAGGTAACTTCTGACTTACAACTGGCATCTGTATTGGAGGGGGTTCTTGGAATCTCCAATTTGCAGCTGATCGGGTAGGAGCACAGGTAACAACCTGGGCTTCCAGTTGATGTCTGGAGTAGAAGGCCATCTTGTGGAACTGAGCTCTTTACCTGTGGAATCCGGGTGTTATGTCAGCATTGAGCTGAAATCTCAGACACTATCAGAGAATTGCTTGTTGGTGTGGGGAAGCCTACACACACACACACAGACACACACACACACAGTGGAAATGGTCCAGGAGCCCAAAGGAGGTTTCCTCTTCAGTAATCTTACCCTGAATCACTTAAGTAAAACCCTTTCTAGCATCTCATCAAAATTTTCTGTATTTTAACTGGACATGGTTCTGAACACCAAAGAAGTAGAGGTAGGTATTAAAATCAGCTATTAGTAGAGTTGGAAACTGTACACTCAACCACCAGGGGTTCTTTAGTTTTATAGCTTTATCCTGAACTTGTGAGTTTCAGATTAGTTTCTTCTTCAATTCAACATGTAAGGTAACTTTGATGGTAAAGACATTGTTTCTTATGCAGAGCATTCAGAGTTTTTAGCCTGCAGGCTGGAGTTGTCCAAGACCAGCTGTCTGCATTACAGAACCACATGAATTTGATCTAACGGAGCATATATTAGTGTCTCCAGCAAATATTTGTTGAACACCTATTTTTAGTGAGGCTCCGAAGTGAACAAAGTGTGCGAGGGTGCAACCTGCTCAGAGCTTGCAATCTAGATGGGAAAGTGAATGATGATAAACAAGAAGGCAGATTATCAGCTGGGAAGAGGGGCCACACAAAAACTAGACTGATGCCATAGAAAGTGAATGGGAGCCTTCATTAGATTTGGGGGCCCTACAAGATCCCTCTGATGAAGAAACATTTAGATTGAGAAGTGAATGATAGTAAGAAGGCCGTTTGTGAGACAGGGGAGGGATAGGGTATAGGCAGAGGAAACAGCCTGTGCAAAGGGTCTAACACAGGACGAAACGTGGCTCCTTGAAGGAGTAGAGGATTAGTAGAGAACAGTCAGCCAGGTCATACAGCACTTTGTAAGGCAGGAAAAAGGGACCCTGGGTTTTATTTTCAGTTTGATGAATGCCATTGGAAAATATGAAGCAGGACAGTGATGTTGCCTGACTATAATTTTGAGGGAAAATCTGCTTGTTATGTGGGGAAGGATGGGGGAAAAGGCAAAGCCAGAGGCATGAAGACAATTTAGGAGACTCTTACTAGCTGCAGTGACCATGCCCTTTTGTTCAAATGAGACCCTTCTGAGAGTGAAAGGGGCCGCTGTGAACCGAGTAGGAGTGGCAGGTGGGTCTGTGGTGGGAACACGCAGTTGCTTGAGCCTCACGGTTGCCTTGGTAACGTAGTGGAGGCTTTATGCTGTTTCACTTAATCCCTGCAATAAACTCAGTGTGCCAGGCACATGATAGGTGCCCAATAAATGTTTGTTGGGTGAGCGAATGAGCGAATCTGGGGGAGTTTTAGTATCCTTGCTTTATAAATGGAGCTGTGCTACAAGTATATTGTAAGCCTAATTTTGACTATAAAACCTATCCTCTTTCCTCAGTTTCTTAACCAAATGCCTCATTCTTGTTGCTTTTTAAGTGTTTCTAGATCGTCTCACATGTATTTACATTTTCCTCCTTCATTTCCTCCTCGCTCCTGGGGTTAGTGTTCTACATACAGAGGTTCTGTAAATGTGTTTGCTGTACCAGTTTTTATCAAAGGCAGGAATCGGACTGGCCATTGACAGTGTCAGGTCCCCAGGCAACTTTCTGATCTTTCCTTTGAAGTGCCCTGAGGCCTCCACCTGGGCAATGTGTCAGGGTTGATTAAACAGGCTGATGATGGGCATGCCTTAACGTTCCACTCTCCCCTTATACAAAGAACTCCCTCCTCTGTCCTCTCTGCTCATCCGGCAAATTGGTGTCACCTTACTTCCAGGCGAGGAGACCTGGGAATCATTTCAAAAAGACCCAGCAGGGCGCCTGAGTGGCTCAGATGGTTAAGTGTCTGCCTTCGGCTCAGGTCATGATCCCAGGGTCCTGGGATCGAGTCCCGCATCGGGCTCCCTGCTCCTTGGGAGCCTGCT